AACTGCAGCGCCATTTCCGACAGTGCCCTGCCCCGTGCCAGCCGCTCGAGAAACACGTGAGAGCAAGCATCACTGAAACGGTTTATTATATAAAGCCGTAGGAAATACACAGGAGGCTGAAGTTTAGGACGCTTCCTCTAGAGACTGCTCCAAGCTCCTCAGAATAGCGAACACACAAACTCTGATTTGCCTGCATCAAAGCTTTCAAACGAGGTTCAACAAGGATCCGCATACAATTAATTACACATGCATAACATTTTCTGTTCCTAAGTGAAGCCAGGGGGAGGGGCTAGCCCCTTCATCCTGCAGTTGGTTACAAAATGAGATATTCATGACAAAAGAGTACGAAAGGGAAGAAAACACAAGAAGAGGCGGTCAGAAAAGCACATTGCTGTCGAAGCAGGAAAGCAGGGTCAGCCTAAGGGCCCCAGCAAGGCAGAAGCAAAAGGTATGTAGAGACAGGGCAGGCATGAGCATCCCACTGCAGAGGGGCCTTGGGGGGCCCAGGGCCAGCTCAGCCATCCAAGGGCTAGGATGGATCAAGCCCTCATGGGAGCCTGAGGTGGCTCAAGGTGTCCTATTTTGCACTGTCAGGGTCAACGTGGGGACGTGGGAGATGCAAAGCCCCTCCAGGGCAGCCCAGGGGCCGTCTTTGCTTCTCATTTGGGACACAGCAAGGGACAAGTGTGGCGGGGGGAGCGGCCGCTCTCTGCCCACCGCAGCAGGGGGCACAGCAGGTTGTGGACACCCCGCCTGCCCCTTGTGTGACCCCAACACTGAGCCCTGCACTCCTGCAGACCCTCCCCTCCAGCAGCCACAGCCTGTGGGCAATGGTCCCCTCCCAAATGAGCAGAAGGTCTTTGGTGTTACCTTCACCGGGGGCAGCTGGGCTCACCGGGGGCAGCTCCTGTCCATGTGAGACGGGTGGAGCGGGAATACATATCTCAGTGCTCTCAGCCTTCAGCACACCCTTCTCCATGGCTCAGCCGGGCCCATCCTGGGGCACCACCAAGGCCAGTACCCACCAGCTTCAGCTCAGACACCACGGAGGCAGCTGTGGGAGGTCACGGCACAGATGGATGGGAATGGGGCAGGGAGGTGGTGGGGGCAGAATGCCCCGTACCTGTGAGCGATTTGAGCTCCTCATCCCCATCTGAGTGAGAGCACCTCCGTGGCGATGTGCAGGGCAAAGGGTCTGGCCCTCAAATGGGCCAGAAGTCCGGAGATGGATCCCATCTGGCAGGACACACACTCTCCTCCTGGACACACACCAGCCTGGTGTCCCCGTAAGGGACAGAGAGCACCCTTCGTGTCCCGGTCAAGCAGTGCCAGAGGCCAGCCGTACACATGGAAAAGGCTGTGCTGCAAAGCCATCCGCTACGCAGGCCAGCACGGCTACGCTGCAGGGACCAGGAGCGGCTGCCCTGTATCAGAGCAAGGAAAGCAGACGGGGGGAAAAGAGAAAAGTCAGCACTGTGCCAAAGGGAGCAAAGACATGCTGCCAGCATGCAGATCCAGCAGCCCAGCGCCGAAGCTGCTGCCGCCCTTTGCTCAGCTGCGGCCCTGGGCTCAGCGCGTGCCTGGTCAGACAGTAAGCAAAAGGAAAGAGTAAATAATGGGGGTCTGGAAGCTCCTTTTTCAACTTTATTTAGCTTTGACTCTGCACAGAGCCATAGCATAGCGTACTCTAGCCTTCAGGGAGGGGCACAGGAACCTCCTGAACACACCATGGTTCGGGGTCAGCCCCCATCTCCTGTGCCTTGCGCCCTGCCCCTGAAATGCTGTTGGGGTATCTGGCACAAAGACCCTGAAGAATAGAGAAAGCCCCTGCCCCACGGTGTCCTCGGAGGCTCATAGGTCGCTGCTGCAGTCACGGCACAGGATCTCATCGTTGTCAGGGATGAAGCCTTTCCCGACCAGCGAGGTGTTGCAGCGGGCACAGTTAAAGCAATTATGGTGCCAGTGACGGTCCTCAAAGGAGACGTATTTACCACCGCCAAAGCCTGCGGGAAGGACAGAGCGCACTTAGAACCCCTGGGGAAACCAGGACGAGCTTCCTGCCCAGCCTGAGTCCTGGCCTGTTGATCTCGGAGGCAGGTCTTCACACGCAGACCTGCAGCATGGCACCCAAACACCCCCCAGTGTCGAAACCACCTGAAATACAAATCTCCGCTCTCGGGGGGAGGGGGAAGAGGAACAAAATGATTTCACAGCAGATTGTTCAGGGTTGAGATCCCCGGTCAGAATCACCGTTGTCTCCCCAGAGAGGAGCAGGGAGTGGAGCTGCACCATCACAGCGAGGGGGCTGCTGGGGGCTCCTTCGGAGGAAAAGCCCTCCTGCCCCAGCCCAGCCCCAGGCTCCTGCAGAGGCTCCGCAGGCAGCTTCCTTCCTCTGCCGGCAGTGGTTGGACATGGGGGCCGTGACCCCCTTTCTCCCCGGCACAGCAACACACTGATAAAGACCAGACGGGAAGCAGGGTGCCCAGGAGCTGCCTCGTCCTCAGCCAGAGTCATTCTGAGTCACCAGCTGATTCATGGCTTTGCCTGCCTTCCCAGGAGCAAGAGACATGAGTTGCAAAGGGAAAGGTCAAGTGGGGGAGGAGTGGGAGGAGGCCGGACCCTCCCAGGGATTTCTGCAGAAAAGAACCCCCTGCTTCCCCTGTCCTAGGCAGGTAGAGTGGGTCCAGACTCCCCTGCAGCAGTTGCTGCTCCAGCTATGGCTGGGAGTCTCCAGCTTTCCCTGTCCATGAGCAATCTTTCCATACGATGTGGCAACCAGCCTCAAACACGGCAAGCTTAACACAAGATGACGCTGCAAGGGGTCATTTTGGGAGCCTTTACCCCTGGGCAGAGGGCATTCCTCCCAAGGGGCACAGTTCACCGCCCTCAAAGATGCGGATGAAGGGACACAAGTGGCCCTAGGACCACTGCAACAAAGAGATCTCATGGGGTTCCTCGGAAAACAGCTGCCGTTTCTGTGGGGGACATGCCTGAGGGCACCTTGCACTACTCGGCATCTGTCCTCAGGAGGCTCGAAGTGCCTGGAGACACTTGAAGAAGCCTGCGTGGTGGAGACGTGTACAAGCATCATATGGGCCTAGGTGACACGTGCACTCGAGAGGGCAGCTTCCCCTGGAGAAGCCACGGCTTGTCTGGAAACAGGGTGGGTAGGTCATGCCCTGCTCTGCAGAAACACCCCGTACCCAGGGCCGGTGCGCTCACCTGTGATGGGCTTTGTGCAGGCGCTGCACTTCTTGGCATAGAGGTTCCCGAAGCACTTGATGCAGTACGGGTTGTCGTCCTGGGAGGTGAACTGCTGGCCAGCCAGGGGGGTCTTGCAGCCCGTGCAGACGAAACACTCCTTGTGCCACGGCTCATCCCGGTAAGTCACTCCTCCCTTGGTCAGGGTCTGTGGGAAGAGAGCGCATACCAGTGACACACAGTCATGGGCTGCGGCGCACGACCAGCTAGCTGGGAAGCTGGTGTCCGAACCCATCACCGGCGGGGCTCCGGCAGGAGTGGGGAACACATCCCTGGAAAACAGAACCCAGGGGCTTTGGGCTGTCAGGCCAGACATACCTTTTTGCAACGAGTGCAGCGAGGAGCGAACTTGCTCTCGTAACAGGGGACACAGTAGTAATCCTTGTTGTCTGGGATGAAGGATCGTGACCCAATGGGCTGCTGGCAGCTGCTGCATATGAAGCAATGCTCATGCCAGGTTTGCCCGTTGTACTCCAGCTTACGGGACCCTGCGGAGACAGCCGTTCACGGTGTGACAGGAGGGACCAGCACGTGCACACACACGGGACGCAGAGGCTGTGCAGGATAAGCTGCGGTCCTGCATACCCGGCTCTGTGCCTGCAGCAGGCAGCTGAGAGGGGACGCCCCAGGCAGCAAGGGGAGGGCTGCGGGAACATGTCCCCAGCACCAGCACACAGGCAGAGACACTTGTCATAACCTACATCTGAAGATGGTGCCAGAATGGCCAAGCAAAGACACTCCTTTGCCTCAGGCCATCTCCAGAGACGCTCACGCACCTTCAGTCATTCCTTTTCTCATCAGCACACACCAGAAAATGCTCAGGAAACCTTTTGTTATCTCCTCCCCAGCTTACTTCCCCGTGACGCAGGGGAACAGACAGACAGGGCTGCTGTAGTGATCGCAGCTCCAGATCCTGCTGTCTTGCCAGACAAGTGCCTGGCCTACTCTGTGCAGTCACGCAGGGAGGCGAGCAGCAATTCAGCTCTCTTCCTTGCTGCCCTGGTGCCAGATCCCGCAGCCCCGACCGATGCCACTGGGACCAGGAACAAGCTGCAGTGCTTGAGCCTGCCCTCTCCTACCTGGCATGACTGTCTTCTCGCAGGCGATGCACTTGGAGGAGAACTCACTGCAGTAGCAGTCGTTGCACAGCAGCTCCTCGCCTTGGCAAGTGAACGGCTCATCGGCCAGAGAACGGTCACAGCGGAAGCAACGGAAGCAGTGCTCGTGGTAATGGCGATCCTCATAGTACAGCTCCTGGGGAGGACAGCCGAAATGAGCCGGGGACCAAACGCCCCAAGAAACCAGCCTGCCCGGCCGGAGGGTCCCATACTCACTCTGCAGTCATGACCAATCAGCTCTTTGCACTCATCACAGGTGTTGGCAAAGTGGGCGTCGTAGCAGGGGATGCAGTACGGGCCGTTGTCCATCTGGATGTACTTGCGTCCGTACAAGGACTCCTTGCAGTTGTCGCAGTCAAAGCACTCTGTCATGGTGCCAGTCTGCGGGCCTCCTTCACCTGCTGAGAGATCAGGGAGATGCTGGGTCAGTATTGGCTTACGCTGCCCAAGACGTTCCCGCACAGCCCTGCCAGGACCCAACACCCAGCTGCTATCGGGACAGGACACAGACCTGAGCTGCTGCGCCTGCTCATCGGCCATACGCACTTCCAAAAATCCTACAGACACTGAGGGGCTGAATGAATCTTGCTTCAGGTTTATGCTCAAGGTCAACAGCTAGAGCACTTAGGCACCACTCAGAGAAACCTAGACACGAAAGCATGAGGGAGCTTCTCACTGCCTGCCTCCTTGCTGCGACGCAAAGTGTAAATGATGACCAAAGAGAGAATTCTTTGCATTAGAAATTTTGATTTGGCACCCAAAACAGGACCCTGCACATGCTGTGAGAGTGCACATCCACTGTCACACCACAGAGCCAGCCACCAGCATGGCCCTAGACCAAGGGCAAGATTCCTCCCGATTCCCTGCTCTGGGCTGTCAGCGGTTCCAGTTCTGGAACCGCTCCAGAGCTTTAAAGCAGCTGCTCCACAGGGAAGCAGGAATCAGGCACCCCACGCTGTGCCCAGGGATGAAGCCACATCCCAGCAAACCGTTGGGCACGTTGCTCCAAGTACCACCACTCTGCAGGGAGTGGGGAGGCTGGGTGCGTCACAAGCAGTAGGTGCTGGGGCTCTGCACGCAGCAGATCAAACGTCTCTTGTGGCCTCTCGGCTCCCTCAGACAAGAGGTTTGTGGAACTATTTTGCTTTCTTCGGAGCACTAATTCCAGAACAAGAGTACCTTCCGTTTGGCTTAACCTGGTTATTCCTAAATATGGAGTTTTCCACTTGCAAAATCACACCCTTCGTTAATACAGGTTGCTATCAAGTGTAGACAAGCCCACGGAATTACACCCGAGCAGTCAGCTAGAGCGCCACAGCCTTCTTCAGGAACCCACCCACCCTGGGAAGAGTATTATGGCTCAATCTGCACTTGAGCATCGATCGGGGCCGGGGCTCCCCGCCACCCCCCGCGCCTCCCCGGCCCCCATGGCAGGGGCTGATCCAGACAGCTCTGACTCACAGCAGTGAGCTCCCCAGGGCTATTCTTGGTCAAGCCACGCAGCTCCCAGCTGTTGTCAGGCCTGGTATGTGCCGACCCGACTGCCGGTGAATAAATCCAGTGTTCCCACATGGCTACGTGACCAACAGTGGGGAACAAAGTCCCTTTTCAGACGCTCTCGTTACCCAGCTGCTGCCCCAGCCGTTGCCTGCTCCGCTGACCGCTCCGCGCCCTCCAGCTCTGCAGTGGACAGGCCTGGGGCCACTGCCCCCGGTCCTCCTGAGCCCCGGCCGGCAGCCCCAGACTCACTGCCCAGGGGACAAGCGGCCTCTGCCAGGCAGTTTCCAGGCTGTCACCGGAGACGGGGCAGGTGCTCGGGGAGGTTTGCACCAGGAAGCCGGATGGGTGCCAGGGCCCTTCTGCCCCAGCTCTGCCCCCAGCCTGGCTCTGGCTGGCCCCCCATGCCCCCTCCCTCTAGGGCACCCCATGAGATGCTGACCCAGCCAGGCAGCAGCACCCACACCCCCCAGCACCCCACACAGCTCCTGGCCGGTTCTCACCCACCGACGTCTCCTCTGACGCTCCACTTGCCTTTACTCCCTGAAGCCACCCGGGACCTTTCTCTCTGGCAATGAATGGAAATCAAGCTAATAACCCTCCTCCTCCCAGCTCCGCTGAAGGGAACTTTCCAAGGTGTGTCTGTAATAAAAGGGCCTCTAATGAGCACTCCCACCCTGGGAGCTGCAGTCCCGCTGGAGCAGGGAGCTGCCATGTTTGCTCAGTGGGCTGTGCTTTATCTCTGTGGTCCTGCTCTACGGGGTCAGAGGACACCAGAAAACACAAGGGAAGGAAAAACAACTTGATGGGAGAAGCCTTGGGGTTTCCCAGTGCCATAGGCTCAGCCTCCCAAGCCTGACCTGGTCCCTGTCCTTCCATGAGCCCTGGTCCCCAAACTCCAAACAAGGGACAGCATTTCCCCGTGTCGCAGGGGCAGGAGGTGGGCAGGATAAACCCACCAAGGGCTGCTGGGGCTCTGGCACCCCTGAACCTGTGTGGTGTCCCCTGACCCCACACGCAGCCTCGGGACCTGGTGCCCCCCAGCAAACCACAGGAGAGAAGGGCCATGGCATGGCCGGAGCAAGCCCTGCTCCTTCGAGCCCAGCCACCACCATGATCCAAATGGGATTAAAGTGACAGGACGGGAACATTTCAATCCCAAATGCCGTTTGGCACCCAGGCTCCTAGCAATGCCAGTCCTCTCCTCCACCAGCAAGGGCACCTGGCACCCCCGAGCCCTCCAGACCCCCCTGCTAGCCTCGTGCTGGCCGAAGCCCTTGGCTGGCACCCACTGGCCCCGCAGTGGGGCTTTCCCTGCAGCCTGCGCAGCACCCACCATCTGCAGAAGAGAAAGTGAAAGCCATGTACACCTGCAAAAACAATACACCAAGGAAGACCCTAAAGCGGTGTGCCATGCTCGCCTCTGCTGGGAGTAGCTTCTCCCCAAAGCCTCCCCACGGCTCTTGCATGCTGTGTGAGCCCATCTCCTGCTCTCCCGGCTGCGGAGTCGGAGCGGGGTGACAGACGCACAGTCCCAAGAGCTTCGCGTGGCTGAGGCTGCCACGAGAGCCTACGGGATCAGACCCCGTGCTGCCTGTTCCACGGAAAAAAGAACAGGCCCAGGAAGTTTGCTCAGGGTTGTTTGTGTTAGATAAGCTGCTTGCTCTCTTTGTTCTGGTGTCGCATGCAGCGCTGGGCAGGGGTGTCAAAGGCCCTGTGCAACGCCAAAGCAAACTCTGCATCTTCGCCCCTGAGGAGACGGCAGTGCCAGAGACCAAGTTCATGGAGAGGAGGAGGGTAGGACAAAAGAAAGAGTAAAAGAAATAGCACAAAAGCCCACAATTCTTACTGTGCTTGCAATGAGGAGCCAGGAAATGGTCTCTATTCATGAAGAAAAGAGGTAAGAGTGTTGAAATGCACTAAAACTCCCTTTAATCGCGGCTTGGATTCGAAGGCAGAATGTAGGCAGTCACTATGCGTGCTCATTAGCACGTGCTCATACTCTGCATCGCCCTGTAAACATTCGCCCTGTGCTAGGCTGGTGTAAGTAACTACTAACCAAGGTGTTGCCCTAAAATGACAGGATTCCAGCTGCAAAGAGAGCGTCTGCTTGCCCAGTAGAGGATGGCCACAGTCCCTGTGGGACAACGTCGGCTGGAGCAGGTCCCTCCTGCATGGGGACCGTGGGGCGGGATGAGGGGTATTCTCTCAGCCATCTCACTGGCTGTCTGAGGGCAAAAATAAACAACAGATACATGCCTGCCAGCTGCCTACCCTTTCCCTTTGACAGATATAGTTGTGCTCATGGAGGAAAGGAAGTTCAGTTCCTCTCCTGTGCCCATGGGCAGCCAGCTTTGGGAACAAGAGCTCCTCACAAACAACATCTAAAGAAGCAAATCCGATCAGTCTGGAACAGCGCTCAGAATAGCTTCACATACGAGAAAGGTCAGCAATCTGTCAAGGGCACACAGCAGAGTCCACTTTCTAATTAGAGAGTAACATGCACCTAACACCACCCCAGTGTCATTGTCTGCAGCAAGGCAGCCGATGGCTTACCAACAGCCCCAGGAGATTATTACATTAATTTTAGTGCCTATAAACTGGAGTCCCATTAAGCAAAGGAGGCAGCACCGACCGTCCAGGGCCAGGCTTTCTGCCGCGTGCAATCACTTACGAGTTTAATCAGCCTTCGGAGACGATTCCTGCTACAACCAACTCCTTCAGCGAGAGGTCTCGCGTAGGGTGAACCTATAACCCCGTGTAACTCCACACCAGTTTGTTGTTCGTTGTCAGGTCACAACCAGCTGCTCCACGAAGTGATCCTAGAGCAACCCATAAGGCTATTCCTAGGGAAACACTTAATCTTTCCAGGACACAGGAATAGACCTGCCTTTGACTGTCAGGTTCCTGCCTGTTCTCACCTTCCCTGGGCTGCTCTGAGCACAGCTCGTGCAGTTGCAGCTCGCACCTAAACAGACACGCAGAAGAGAAAGCCCAACCTTGCCGGGACAGGCGAACATTCCCCATGTAAGGATGAAACAGTCCAGGGACAAGACTTTGGAAGACGGTCCTCAACGCGCTCCAAGGTCAGAAGAGGAGAAGAACGCTTTTTGTTCCTGTTGGCTTTCCAGAACCATTATGGGTCCTGGAATCTGTGTGAAATTGTTTCTGCCTGCCACCGACCCTAAAAGGGAAACCAGCTGCTTGCTCTGAGGAGCAGCCCCAGCCCCTCCATTAGGCTGGGAATGTTCTCAGCGCACATTTCCTGACACTGCTTTGGCGGATCTGCTCCGGGTCACTGCGCACCCTAGTCCCCTGGGCTCTCCGGGATGACAGGGGCCAGCTCCCTGGGGTACCAAATGGGTTTCTCTGCGCCTCTTCACGCTGCTGCCTCTCTCTGTACCCTCTTGCTCTGCTCCCAAACCCTGGAGCACGGCCGTAGACCTGGCACAGTGGGAACAACATCCCCCCATCTGCTGTTCGAGGGGATCCTGCCTTTGGTGAGAGGCTGGAGGCAGCTTGCCAGGAGGGTGCCGAGTGTAACCAGCCGGACGCAGCCTGCACAGAGCACCCTTGGGAGCGGTGTTGCATCAAGCCTTCGCCCGCCTGCTCGTAGCACCACTGAGTCACTTCCTGCCTGCAGATCTCTGCTCCAAGCAGCCTTCCAGGCCAAGCCTCCCCATGGACAGCTCGGAAATCCCAAGTATGAAGGGCTGCTCTGGGGAACAGAGTCCTCGCAGGGACTATCAACGGGCAGCTCCCCCATCACCAGCACAACAGGAGGATGCTGCAGGTCATTTCTCCAACACGTAGGGAAGATTTGGCTCCTACAGTCGGCCTCAGAGGAGGCGGCAGGAGACAGATCAGCTGGGTGTGAGGCCACACAGCCCTCCCCTGCACC